ATTCCACCATCCTTGCTAATCCCCTGCCTCTTCCCTTTCCCTCCCACCCCTCTTCCCTATCTAGAATTCATCTATTCCTCCCATGCTCCCCGTCCTTACCCCACTATGAGTCAGCATCCTTTATCAGAGAAAATATTCACATTTTAGCCATTTTTATTATTATTTCTTACATACATTTTTAATTATACGGTTCTGTGGCATTAACTACTCCATCATCATGCGACGGCCACTGTCTCTCAGTGTCCTTTAACTAGATTTTTTATTTCTCCATGTAATTAGAAAAAACATCAGAAATATCCATTGACATTAGAAATAATTCATGGGACATGATATTTGAATGGGAATCATATTTAAAATTWTCTTTCTTTAATGACTTGGTCCTAGACAGAGAATGGGCTTCGGGACAATGACATCAAGCCCAGGGTCAGCGAGTGGGAAGTGATCCAGGAGTCGGGGACGAAGCTGAAGCCCATGTATGGCCCCGGGTACACGGGTCTGAAGAACCTGGGGAACAGCTGCTACCTCAGTTCAGTCATGCAGGCCATCTTCAGCATCCCAGAATTCCAGAGAGCGTAAGTGCCTCCCGAGCAGAGGGGTCCATCACCTTGGACCTTCTGCCACCTCATCTGTGGCATGTCCTCTCATCCCGAGGCTGGGTGAGAACCCTTACAGGATCAGGGGAGATAGRGGAACTTTGGAAACTCAAAAACACCCTACAAGGTTATATTAATTATGACTTCCACTTTTAGACCCCGACTCTATGTGCCAAGAATATACTAATCATTAGCCTCTGTGGGGAAGCTGCCCAGTCCCTCCTATGGATGTGCTAGGAGAGAGCCAATGGTTGGTTTGTCCAGTCTCTCTCCTCTGGGGATGGAGAGTTCTTTAGTGACTTAGGATTTTCATTGGGTCACACACTGGTGCTGTTCTTGTGGATGGTTGGATATGGGTCTGTGATGAATTAARTATGGGGACTGAGAGCACTTAGAAATTTTTGTAGCAGCTTTATATTGTCATGTCTTATAAGTAGCATTTCATTTTTCTGATTATTCATTTTTATGGTGTTCTTTAAGAGTATTATCCAAGTTGGAAAAAGCTGGCCCCTTACCATGGACACTGGGGAGGCACTGATTTTTGCTGCTTCCTAACTGAGCATGAACAAGACTGTCTTCCTCACCCCACACCTGGTGGCTCAGTTTTTCTTCCTTGGGTTGTACTTAGAACAGGAAGCCACAGAGCCCAGGAGCTACAGCTGGTGTGCTCAGTGGTGCAYTTAGGGCCACTAACTAAGTTTAGAAAATTATATCTAGCATGTCCCATAGTGGGTAGGCTTCTWCCTTGGTTCAGTGTGGAAGAGGACACACGTGTGTCCAGGCAGACTAACAGGCAGACAGCAGGCTAGGAATAGCACAGGGCARTGTTTTACCCACCTGGAGTTGAAATACTAATGGCTTTAATAGGGGTTAATCAAAAGTATGTCAGAAAACCTTTTCTTTCCTTGGTATTTGAAGACTTAACCTCTTGCCATTTTCTGGCTTTGAAAATATATGGTCAGTTTTCCATATTGATTTTCATGTTTTCATCCAGCCAATGGTATGAGTTCTGTTCTGCTCGGCAGTGTGCTGGGTGTGTGGTGGGTGAATGGTAAATGAAAAGACATGGTTCCTGGCCCCAGGGAAGGCACAAAAAACAGGCATTGCCTAAATAATCATAGGAACAACTACATGGTTATAAATGTGGTACATTCCATAAAGGAAAAGGGAAGGAGGTATCAGAGAGGACCCCTTGTAGAGGGAACATACCCTGACAGATGTGTGGGAGGAGTGGGGGGCAGGGGATTTTGGGCAAAGGGAAGAGCAAGTTTGAAGCCTCGAGATGGGAAACCCTTTTCAAAGGTGAACATCATATTTTTTTTTTTTTTTATAAATTTTTACCCACGTCTCACACGTCATTTGATCAGAGAAAAATGTCACTCCATCCTATGTGACTCATGCTCCAAGATCTTTTTTGGAAATGCTGAAGGAATGTCCTTGTGGGAGATAATAATAATAATTATTATTGCTTTTAAACTACAGTGGAAGAAACTTTTTTTTTCTTACAAAATCCAACAACATTTTTAGTGCTTTAAAATCTACTAACAACTACAACAACAACAACAAACTTCTGACAGGCCATTTGACAAAGAATTAACTTTCTGATTTTTTTTAAATGAAAAAAAATGTATCTCAAATTTGATTTAAGATTTAAATCTCCCTGTAGTCTTTGAAAAAAAAATTTTTTTAGTTGTAGTTGGATGAAGACATGAATGGTGTGAATATACTTTGTATACAACCAGAGATATAAAAAATTGTGCTCTGTATGTGTAATATGAATTATAATGCATTCTGCTGTCATATATAACAAATTAGAATAAAAAAAGTTAAAAAAAGACTTATGTGTAAATGAACATAGTATTTAAATTGAACAATAAATATTTTAAAAATATGTTTATGAATTTAAAAAAAAGATTTGAATCTCCCTATAGTTTTTAAAAAACAATTTTTWAAAATTGTAGTTGGACACAATACTTTTATTTTTTATTTATTTATTTTCATGTGGTGGTGAAGATCGAACCCAGCACCTAACACATGCTAGGCAAGTACTCTACCACTCAGCCACAACCCCAGCCCTCCCTGTAGTCTTGTTTCAAGAATTTTGGAATTTTATTTCATATTATCAAATATTTTATATGCTATTTTATAAGTTTTTACCATATATCTTAGAACATGAGCAACTCCTTCTTATTCTTTTCCTTGTTTGGCCAAATGCCCCCCCGGATTGAAATATTTGCTTTGCAAGCCCCCCTTTTTTTTTCCCAGTAGTCAGTTCAGTTTAGCTGGGTCTAAGGCRGTGTATCCATTTTGTAAGTGGAAAGAGTGACTCATAGAAAGATTAGATGACTTATGAACACCACAGTGTAATTCAGAAATGTCAGCCCGATTCCTTGATACCTTGTCTGCCACTGGTTTACATTTTAACATAATTCTCACTGAGGATCACATCTAGGTAAACTGGTGTGCGACTTGAATAAGTTGGCCACATTGTCAGTTAGCAAATCTACATCTTTTCTTGGATTATCACTAGATTTCAAACTGCAATTGTAATATGTATCTTAAAAATTACCTAACATTACTTCTGCATTTTAATTTAGTTTTGTTGTAATGGAGGGTAAGTCTTGTCAATTAGAAAAGGAACATAGTTGGCTGGCAAAATGGACATTTGGACGTCAAAGTTTTACCCCTGTCACTCTGTGTTTCTCTACCAGTCTCACCTGAAGCATAAACCCATTCATCTTCCTGATGAGTTTTTTGTCTTGACAGATTTTGAGATGTGATAAAAACTGGATCATAGGTGAGCTAATGAGTTTGTCATGTTGTGTCTTATACAGAATTCATCAGCATGGCCTCTGTAGCTAAACAGTTAGCTCAGAAGTCTGATTTATCTGTTGTTCGGCTTTCCGTCCTTTAAAAACTTCTAGATGAAATTGTTGCCCCAGTGATACATTTGAGAGCAGGGACAAGGATGGGACTGTCTCTCCTTGTCTACAAGCTGCCTTTGGTATAGATACATAATCTGTGAAACAAAGTCTGAGTTTGTGAACAGGAGGTGCCTTGAAGTTTCTCCTAGTTGAGGGATCCAATTAGAGGTTGGCGCTAACTGCTAGTATGCCCTGGTTTTCTTGCTAGAGCTTTGTTGCAAGAATGCCTGTTAGTCTGCTTTCTGTCACTGTGTACAATACCTGAGATAACCAACTTAAAAAGAGGAAGGTTTATTTTGGTTCACAGTTTTGGAGGTTTAGTCCATGACCAATTGGCCCTATTTCTTTGAGCCTGGAGTGGCACAGTATATCATGGTGAAAGTGTGTGGTGGAGGAGGTCCCGTTAAAACTGGATCATAGGTGGCCAGATTATCAGTTAGCAAATCTACATCTCTATACCACTTGTGGGTGGTATAGAGAGAGAGAGAAAGGGGAGAGGGAAAGGAAGAGAAATGGTCGTACAATCCCCTTTGAGGGCACACCTGAGTGACCTAACTTCCTCCCATTAGGCCCCGCCTCTTAAGGGTTCCACCATCTCTCAACAATGCTATGTGCTATGGGTTGGGGACACATGGTCTATGGGGGTGACACATATCCAAACCATAGAATACCTTTTCTCTTTGGTTCTTGGAAGCCAGTTATAGAAATTGGTTGTGTGATTACATGACATGGTTTAGTCCACCTTCATAGAGATTGCATTCTATTATATAATCTTTAGAGAGACGGATAACAAGAAAGAAAATAAATGGTGTAATTCAAATCGTGAATATTTGTTCTTAGCTAAGAAGCTAAGAACAAATTCTGCTGGAGCATGCAATAGGGAGTTAGGAAGAGTGGGGGTAGCTACTCTCTTGGCTGAGTCTGGGGAGGTGACTTTCAGCAGACCTGAGAAGGGGCTGCCAAGCAAGCATCTGTGAAAAGARCGTTCCAGAAAAGGGACAGCAGATGGCCTGGCCTTGAAGCAGGAGTCAATCTGGAATGCCCTGGGGCACTAGGGAGGCAAATGGTCAGGGCATTGTGGGCAGCGGTAGAGTGGTAGCAGATGGGGTCAGAGAAATGGGCAGAGTAGGGTGCATGAAGGGCCATCGGAAGGGATCTGTTTCTGGACTCCTCTTCCTAGATCTTTCAGGCTTCCACAGTCAGAGCCTGGAGGGGGAAAGAAGAACAGCACAAAGTTGGGAGGGTGTGAAGTAGGAAAGGGGCTGAGGATGGGAGTGAAGACTGGAGAGGTACTGAGGTTAGCACTGCTCCGTCAGGACGCAGCAGTCGGGAAGGGCTGTGGGCTGCCCAAGGCAGGCACGGCCAGCCAGCAGAGGGCTGCAGAGCAGGACCTTGGGGCCAGGCTGCTGGGGCCCACTCTGGGTTCAGGCACTCACTCCCTGAGTGACTTCGGAAGACGCCTAATGAGTTTGTATCCCAATTTCTCATCTCTCAAATGGGATAATGGGGATAAAAACCCCTTCCTCATATGGTTGTAATGAAAACTCAACTAGCTAATATAGAAAGCCCTCTGGAAATGGTAGTTGTCACTGTATTTATTTACTCATTTTGAGATTGTTGGAACAACGCCTTATGTTAAAGATATCTGAACACTGTCTAAGATGGTAAGGCAGACTGAATTCAAGAGGGGTCCCTGGTGACAGACATAAGGACTGCTGCCTCTTGCAGTGAGTCAGCGGTTGGACTCAATGTTCACTTTAGGGAAGGCAAGGAGGGATTCACTACCAAGCAGGGGGAGGGTCAGTAGATGGAGCATTAGTGAGAGGGAACCTCAAGGATAAGGGCTTCTGGCTCAGCTGTCTTGATGGGATTATCACTGAAGACAGGTCAGGGTGGTCGGGCACTAATGTGGGGATTTTCACTAAATGGACTCAGGATTTCCACTCAAAATAGATTCTACAAGGACATTTAAGGAAGTTCCAGGTTGGTCTTCAAGCCAGCCAGAGGACTTGGAGGAGAGTGACTAAAGTTTTGGTCAAAGGAGAGAGTGTTCTCTAACCTAGGCTGGAGAYGTGTTGGGATTATGTGGGGAACTTAATTTTTTTAATTAAAAATTTTTTTTTTTTTTTAGTTGTAGATGGACAAAGTGCTTTTATTTATTTATTTTTGTGGTGATGAGGATCAAACCCAGTGCCTCACAGGTGCTGGGTGAGCAGTCTACACTGAGCCACAACCCCAACCCTCATGGGGGGAATTTTTAAAGGAACTATAAATCCCAAGCTTCAATCTCAAGGGAGGAAATCAGAACATCTAGGGGTGGTTCTGGCTTTGGTAATGTTTTTTTTTTTTTTTTGTACTAGGGATTGAATCCAGGGGTGCTATATCTCTGCCTCTTTTTATTATTTTTATTTTTTAGGGATCAGGGATTGAACCCAGGGGCACTTAACCTCTGAACCACATCCGTAGTCCTTTTTAATATTTTATTTAGAGATAGAGTCTTGCAGAGTTGCTTAAGGCCTCGTAAGTTGCTGAGGCTGGCTTTGAACTCATGATCCTCCTGCCTCAGCCTTCTGAGCCACTAGGATTACAGGCGTTTGTCACCATATTTTTGAGATAGGGTTTCACTAAGTTTCTTAGAGTCTTGCTGAGTTGCTGAGGCTGGCTGTGAACTTGCAATCCTCTTGTCTCAGCCTCCTAAGTCGCTGGGATTACAGGTGTGTAACACCATGCCCCACTGACTTTGATAATTAAAAAAAAAAGAGAAAAGAGAAAAAGCTCCGTAGATAATGTTGATTTGTAACCAGGGTTGAGACTCAATAATGGAAGGAAGCATCAGGGTTTCAGGAAGGTTCTTGAGTTTGGTGGTTGAGACAGATCTCAGAAAAAACTGTTCCTCAGGTGGTTTGAATTTTTTTTTTAAATATTTTTTTTTTTAGTTGTAGCTGGACACAATATCCTTATTTTATTTATTGTTATGTGGTGCTGAGGATCGAACCCAGAGCCTCACACGTGCTAGGCGAGTACTCTGCTGCTGAGCCACAACCCCAGCCCCTGAATTTTTTTTTTAATCATTATGTTAGTCTTTATTGTTCTCTCCCTCTCTCTTTTTTTTTTTCTTGTGGTGCTGGGGATCAAACCCAGGGCCTTGTGCATGCCAGGCATTACTCTATCACTGAGCCACATCCCCAACCCAGATGATTTGAAAATAATCATYTGTTACAGATGATCTGAACAGAATCATCTGATACAGAATCAACTGATACAAGCCATCATTCTCTCAAAGACCTTCCTGATTTTGAGAGAATGATGGCTTGTTTCAGTTCTGTTCTTCTCTTGGTTCCTATGTTTTGACTWTTGCTTCTCATTCCCTAGGTATGTAGGAAACCTTCCAAGAATATTTGACTACTCGCCTTTAGATCCAACACAAGATTTCAACACACAGATGTAAGTACCAGATTATGTTGGTCTAGAAAAAGTATCCAACGGAGTATTCATAGTGGTTATCACTGGGTTGCAGAATGAAAGGCAATCCTTTTTTGTTCTTGTATATATTAAGTGCTCTACAATGATCATGTGTCACCTTTATGGGAAGAAATGAATAAAGAACTGTGGAAAATTTAACAATGTAATCAGAAGCAAGTAAGGCAAATAAGTTATTTGTGAATAATCAAGAGAAAATGCTCCACCTCAAAGCAGCTATATTTATCAGAATTCAGAAATAATTTTAATATTTCTCTAGGAAGACAACAATGAACTCTTTGCTTTTGTGTCTCTTCCTGGTCAGGACTAAGTTAGGACATGGCCTTCTTTCGGGTCAGTACTCAAAGCCTCCAGTGAAATCGGAGCTCATTGAGCAGGTCATGAAAGAGGAGCACAAGGTACGTGTCCCAGGTGTGCCGCGTGGATGTGTGGGAAAGGGGGACTTCTACTGGCCAGAAGGTGGGTTTCCTTTTTTTTTTTTTTGTTCTAATTAGTTATATATGATAGCAGAGTACATTTTGACATATCATTCATAAATGGAGTATAACTTCTCATTCTCTGATTGTCCATGATGTAGAGTTACACAACTTGTAATCATATATGCACATAGGRTAATAATCTTTCCTATGCCTACATTCCCTCCCCTCCCTTCACTTCCCTCTGTCTATCTCAAAATATCTGTAGTTTTCCCTAGCCCCCATCACTTATTGTGAATTAGCATCTGCATTTCAGAGAAAACATTTGGCCTTTGGTTTATTGGAATTGGCTTATTTCGCTTAGCATGATACTCTCCAGCTGCATCCATTTACCTGCAACTGCCATAATTTCATTCTTCTTTAAGGCTGGGTAATATTCTGTTGTGAAATATACCACATTTCAGAAGGTGGGTTTCTTATGCATAGTCAAATGGTGCCTGCAAATTTAGCAAGCTGTCAGAATAGGAGTCTCATTTCAGAGTGAGTGGTGCCTCTCTGTGTGCTCTTAAAAAATTGTGAGAACCAGATTATGTTATTTGCAGGAAAATGATGGAACTAGAGAACATCACATTAAGGAAAATAAGCCAGACTCAGAAAGTCAAGGGTCACATTTTCTCTCATATGTGGTAGCTAGAGAGAAAAAGAGGAAAGAAAGGGATCTCATGAAAGTGGGAAACCAGTAGGGTAGAGGAAGGGGATCACGGGAAGGAAGGAAGGTGGGGGGAAGGGAGGGACTGGGGAGTGAAATTGATCAAAGTATGCTATATGCATATATGAATATGCCGTAATGAAACTCATTATTCTGCATGATTATTATACACCAATAAAAAAAATTATAATAGCTAGGTGGTGCAGTCCTGTAGTCCAGCTCCTCTATCCAGCTCAACCTGGGCAACTTAGTAGACTTTGTCACAAAATAAAAAAAAATAAAAATGAAAAAAGGGATTGGGGATGTAGGTCAGTGGCAGAGTGTTTGCCTACCAGACTTCATTTTCCAGTAGTGAAAAAAAAATTGTGATAGGAATAACCCGTGTCAGGGTTTCCCCATATAGATCATATGTATGGGCCATCCTTAATGATCTTCATAAATACAGCGGAGACAGAAGGAATAAACCTTATAACAATATAACATCACCCCCTCAGTGGCCCAGTCTTGGCCCTTACCGTGTCCTCCTTCTCCTGATCCTCAGCTTTGTTTGCTAGTGTTTCTCAAAATGCTGGTTGTTCAACACCACCACACAAGTTCTTCAACCTCTCCCCAGAGCTGAGGATTCAGAATTTCTAGGGAGGGCTTGCAGGTCTCATTTCTGGCAAGTGGTCACGTGGTTTTTATGCACACTCAAGTAGGAGAAGCTCCATTGGCCAATCATTTTTGATTGACAGAATGATTGAAAAATGGGCTTGATCTCCCAGTACTAGACCTGAGCTCCATGTGCCTGCACAGTGGTCTTCTCTGATGCACAACTCCAGGAGGTGCTATTCAGAGCCTGATCTTTTTGAATAGTGTCCTTGGAATTGTGCAGCACATGGCTGACAGAGTTGTATTCAGCACCCTTAGCTCCTGTTGCTGCAAGTGTCCTGAGTGGAAGTGCATGCCCCTTCTCTACCACCTGCTGTCCTTTTGGAGTACCCTGTCTTGACTTAGTGGGCAAGGTCCTTCAAGTCTGTTGTCTGATCTCTGTGCTTCCATCTTAAGTCAGTAGGCCTTAACTAATGCCTGTAGACCAAAAGCAAGAGAGTGAACACTCTCTTGTTCATATGAACTTAGCTGCTTGTGGAAACGGAGCAAACAAGGGAAGGAAGGCTCTCAGGGGAACACAGAGAGAGGCAGTGTTTGGGGATGAAAAGAAGGAAGTAAAGAGGGAAACAGACATTCTGGATGGCGAGCCCAGGAGATCAGAGTGGCACAGGGTGGGAAGAACTTCGGTTCTCAAATTGCCTTGTTACCCAGCACTGCATGATTCTGATCCTTTCCCACCAGAAGGAGTGAGACCCTCATCTGGGATGCAGTGGAGGAGATGGTTCTCATTTGACATTCCAAAATGTGAAAATGCAAAATCAACTTAGTGGTGTTTGTAAAATTTGGTTTGGTTACTATTATAATGTTCTTTTATGCTGGTTAAAAAAAAAAAGTGGTTCTTATATGAGTAAGGCACATGATTTATTCGTGCTAGAAATAATGACTGCTTAGCCCTGGTCTTTCTTTCCTCCGCACAGGGGTCAGTGGCCATCGTGCTGTTGATCTGTAGATTCCAGCTTGCAGCTCAGTTTGCATCGAGGCATGTGACCTAGCAGCACTTGGGCCATATGTGGTCTGAAGTGTGTTTTGCTTGACTCACACAGATTACCTGAATTCCTAGCTTTTCTGAACCACCCAGAACCCCTGCCAGTCCCAGACCTATAGTGGCAGCTGGAGTCCCACTCTGCCCTCCCTTCACATGAGACACACAGTGTCCAGCTGGCTCCAGTCCCTTTGTGGCTTGTGACCTGGCTGGTACTGTGGGTATTTGGGTTTGTGACCTTTGGTCTAGATGACTTACAAAATGCTTCCGAGTGTTGAGGCAACCATAATCTAGTGCGTGGTCTTGATGAAAGAATCCAAGTGTGATCTGGGTGCATCCCGCATCCTGGCAGTGGAGGGGAAGGCCCATCTCACAAGAGAGGAAATGAGCAGGTCTTTGGTCCCAGCACCAGTGAGGCTCCTCTAACATTTGAAGTAGAGCGTGAATTGACCTTTGTGGTCCTGCGGGTGACTGTTTTAAGCTGTTCCTCGAAGAGACAAATAATCCATAGCAGAACTCTCTACTTCCCTTGACAGGGGATGGAATTACTTTCTGAGACATCAAGATTGTCACTGGTAATTGGTTTCAAAGGGACCAGTTGTGAGAATCTTCCTTTTCTCAGGTATCGGGAGCTCTCTGGTCAAATGGTCCTGTCCCAGGCCTGTGGCAACTTAGAGATGAACCCGAAGTGTCTCACAAGAGGAAAGAAGATGCACTGAAGCAAAGAAGGGATAGATTATTAGAGGAATGTGTGGCAGAGGAGAGAGAGAGCATGAGAGAGGGATCAGAGCCTTTGGCAGAAATGCCTTTACACAGGACCACCAGCAACCATGGGAGTAATAGCTGGCATCACATTGAGGTGGCAAAGGGCCAGGCTCTTTCACTGATGCTGGAAGTGATGCAGAGGACTCTGGCCTGAAGTTAGCTTTTGAGTGGCAGACCTAGGAATCTCACCAAGCAATGTGTCTCCTGGGACCACTATACTCTCCTGTTTCCCTAAGTGGTACTTCAGGATTTGTTTTAGGTTCACAGTGTCTCAATGTGTGGATGGTAGTGGGTAGATGACAAGATGGGGCATTTTAAGTTTGCAAATTACCAGCCTAATAGTGTGGGTTGCTCATCGTCATCTCATAACTTGGGTCAATTCTAGAACACATCCTTCCTGATATTAAATTGGTCTGCTTTGAAACAAGGTGAAAGTTAATGTTTAATATGTGCTTGCTTAATAAATATTTTTGTCTATAAAAAAGACTTGCAATATTTGTAGTGGGCACTGACCAATTTGTTGAATTGATTTTTTTTTTTCCTTTTGGTGCTGGGGATTGAATCCAGAGTCTTGTGCACACTAAGCAGGCACTCTACCACTGAGCTATGCCCCTAGCCCTACTGAATTGACTTTTAAGATAAGATTGCATTTGTCATAGATAATACTTTAACATTAGAGAAGAGGAGTCTTTTTTTTTAACCCCCTAAGGGCAGGAAGATTGCTTGAGCCCGGGAGTTCAAGGTCAGCTTGGGCAACATGGTAAGACCTGTGTTAAAAAAATTATATGTATATATATTCTTCATCCTTATGCATATTAAGACAGTGCTTTCAAACATTTTAAAGTCAAATACTTTGTAACTTCTTTCTTCTTTTGAAGATAACATATTTTACATAATTGTGTATTTGGAATAAATTATTTCTTAAAAATTAATTATGTGAGTGTTCATCTAAGTGATCCTTGACACATAATCGCTGATTTCAACTTCTTATCAGCATGAGGTGACCAGTGTTCTACTTTTCGGTGATATAACTTAAGCTCTAAACGTAAGAACTTTGTTTTCACTGAACTCTGTTTTCCTAGTTTGGGCAAATATAACATTTCTAATTTACCTTTTGAAATATGAATAGTAGCTTGGGAGATTTGGGGTTTGGATAGGGGGTAGGAGCTAATGGTCTAAGGTTTAAGGTTTAAGATAAAAAGTTTAAATACACAAGAGTTCATACACTTGTGCTTTGGGGACAGGCTGAGATGTGTTTATCTCCCTTTTGTTGCTTGGTCTTATAAATTCTGTGCAAGCATTGCTCTAATGTGCTAAAAATCTCAATCTCAATCTCTCTGCTTGCTGATTAATTAAAGCATTAGGCTCAGGGGAGCGTGAGTGGCTAGCATCTGGCTGTCTGCCTGGTGCACGGTGTTAAACAGAAAGTCCTGTGTAAGCTTCTGGGAGACATTCTGAACACTGTAGTCTTCTCTCTAATTTTAGCTGATCGTTTTTGCAATTGCTGATGGAGAAAGTAAGTACAGTATCCTATTAATATGACAGGTTCCCTAGGCGGTTGCTATTTTGGAGACTATTTGGGCCTCCCTGTTATAGTGACTCAGAACTAGCCTTTGCTTCAGGTATCCCAAGAGCCAGCTCACCAGAGAGAGTGCATCCTCTCAGAAGGCAGATATGACTCATGGTCAGTTTGGGCCTCATTTTGTGTGTTAAGTCCATGGAGACACTCAGGGGATGTCACTGACGTACAGTCAAGTAGGAAACATGCTTTCTCTAGCTCAATTTCTTTATTTTTTATTTTTTAATTTTAGCTTTTAACGAACTATCCTATACAGAGCCTCAGCTTTCTTTTTTTTAAAGAAAAAATATTTAAATTTGCATATGTACATAAAAGTGGAGAGCACAATGAATTTCAGCAGCTTCACTAGCTCAGTGATCGCTGGACTGCCCATTTTGCCAATCTGGTTCCATMAATCTTCCTAAACTCTTCCCTTTCCCTCTTTCCCCTTCTTCTTTCCCTTCTCTTTCTTTCCTTTCTCTTTCCTGCAGTAATTTAATACATAATTCATAATCCTACTCTTTACCTGTTAATATTTAGAATGCATTTGTAACTATAATGCCTTGGTTGTTTTCATTTACCATAAATATTATTTAAAATGTTAAAGACATGCCAACAAAATTAACAATTCAATCTTTTTTAGTCTCATCTAATATCCAGTCCATTAGATGATTACTATTGTTTAATATGCAGATTTTTTCCTGCAGTGCTGAAGATATCTTTCCAAAGTTATCTTCCTCTTCTTTTTGTAAGCTCTTGTTTGTTGAAGGAACTGGATCATTTGCCCTCAATACCATGAAGTATTGCTCAACCTGTGTTTCTTAGAAACTGGTAGATAGATCTGGAGGCTTGATTAGATTCAGGCTCAACATTTTTTAGAGACTAACTTCCTCTTACCTAGATGTGAATTGAACATAGCCATAGTTGAATCTTCCCTTTGAAATCCAGGATACAGTGGGAGTGGGGCATGGGTGTAGAAAGATGGGGCCAGCTGATATTCAAGGCATGAAGCATGGAGTAGCTGAATTTAAGCTCAAATGCTCAAACCTAGCTGCCAACCCCAGGAGCTGGTCTGTATGTAGAAAGAGGTACATCTCTCTAGGTAAGACGCTTTTCAGATAACTTCCAGGTGATCACCTACTCTCAAGCAATCACTGGACTGTTGATCATGGATTAAGAAAGGTTAGTTGAGGCAGGGCTTGGTGGTGCACGCCTGTAATCCCAGCGGCACGGGAGGCTGAGACTGGAGGATCGTGAGTTCAAAGCCAGCCCCAGCAAAAGCGAGGACTAAGCAACTCAGTGAGGCCTTGTCTCTAAATAAAATACAAAATAGGGCTGGGAATGTGGCCCAGTAGTTGAGTGCCCCTGAGTTCAATCCCTAGTTCCCTCTCCCACCAAAAAAAAAAAAAAAAAAAAAAAAAGAAAAGTAAAGAAAAAGATCAAGGGAAAACAAAGAAAGAAGATAAGCACAGAAGGGAAGAGGTGGGAGGGGAATGAATGAAGCTGGGCCACATTCCAACCACAGGGCTGTTTCTGGTGGTTGTCACCAGGGTCTCTAATGAAACTTCTCCTCTCAGTTGTATCACCACTTAGTGGCACAGAGGTATAGCCAACAGAGGTATAGCCAGCTCTTCAGAATTTACTGACTTGTTGAATTTTCCAAAGCAACTGTTCTCTGTGGTCTGTGTTGGGGACTGGCGGCCACAGCACACTCAAATCACAGCTGGTAAGAAGTAACACCCTCAGTGGCAGGCAGTGAATGCCTGCTTGTGTGAGTACCTAAACAGAGAGTGCACAAATGGGAATCCCACATGATGTCTCCATACTGTTAAGAGTGGAGAAAGAATTGCTGGACTGGCCTGCAATGCTGGGTTTGAAGAAGACCTTTCCAGAATCCAAGATGTACTATCTTCTCTTCTTGGCAACTTGTTGGTTGGACTTAGTGATGACAGGGTGAACCAGAAAGAGCATTAGGACACTAGAGAGAGGGAATGGAGAGACTGGTCTCGCAATGCAACCCTGGACCAGTTGCTTATCCTTCTGTGCCTCAGCTTCTCCTTCTATCAAGTGGAGATAATATTCATCATTGTCTCTTGGGGTTGGATAAATTAAGCAAAATATGCATATACAATGTGAAGAACTGTGCCTGGTACCCAGTAATTTTTTTTTTTTATCCAAGCACCTGGAATAATGTCTGAGACTTTCTAGTACTTAGTAAATATCTGTTGGATGAATGTATAAATATTAGCCATTATGCCAAGAGAAGGTACCATCATTGCATGCCTGTGTCAGCTGATGGCTATGTAGGCACACACTAGCATTATGAGTGAAGAAAGGCACAACTTTACATGCTTTTGAGGGGATGTGTAACAGGTAGTAAAATTAACTGGGTCAGGAATAAATTGGTCTTTGTCTAGCACTGGAAGCACATTTGAAGCCATGTAAGCATGTAAGCTGATCATTTATGTTCTGGTTCCTGTTCCTCAGATGTCCAAACACTACCATTTTGGGGAATTCTCAAAGGGCTACTAGCACTGTTTTGGGTCCTCTGTAGTGTTTCTTAACATTGACAACAGGTGTGTGTGTGTGTGTGTGTGTGTGTGTGTGTATGTGTGACGTACATATATAAACTCCTAGAAGGCAGAACACCCAGTAATAGAACTCCCAGTAATGCCATGCAGAGAGTACGTGGTCAGTAATACTGGTTCACTAGGCCAGTGAGCCCTCAGCAAGATGGGAAAATTCACTGGACTTAAATGAGAAATAATTGCTTAGAATGGGTGCATTGCAGTGATGATATATGTAGCGCTGCCTTTGGCTGCAGGGAGATAAAGGAGTTGTCTCTTCACCTGTTGAATCTGACAGTCATTCTGCAAATCCATCAGGGACTCCAGATCATAGGAATTGGCCTTGGACGTCCATGAGAACTCAGATAGGCGTGAGACAGGGCCTGCCCCTGCTAGCACCCAGTCAGGCCACGGAGATGAGCCAGAAGCGGGCTGAAAGTCTTAATTGTGCTAGGAGCCAGTGATGGCCCAGATGGCAGGTTCTCTGGGTGTCTGTCAGAGCAGGGGAATGTGGTTTGGAAGGTAAGCAAGTGGAGGTTTTATCAAACGTGGGGCAAGTAGTAGCCATCGCATTTGCAGAGAGGGCAGGAACCACCTTTGGCTCCACTGCCAAGGTGAGGTGTATTTCACTGAGCTCCGGTTCATGCTCAGTGCTTCCTGACATGTGTCTAGTGGGTCCGTTTTTTTGTTGCTTCAAATAGCCTGACGCTGGAGTCGGAGCTGAATCTGGAGTCCACTCTGTTTCTACTTTGCTAGCTGCATTAAGATCACTCATCTGGCCCTTCTTTGCCAGTCTCTTGTTTCCCTTGGTGGGGATAAGCAGAGTACCTGCTTTCTGGGGTTATTGTGGTATTAATGAGGTCAACAGGTGTCACCATTGTCAGGTGGGTGAACTTGGGGCAACACCTGGGTCTATCAGGGGCCTGCCTCTGGCACCAAAGGCCATGTAGAATCTTCCCACCTCCTGAAGTGTAGGCGAGTTTCCTAGATTTCTAATACTGAAAAGTCCAGGTCATATCAAAGCCACTTGAATTCTTCTCCCTTTTACAGAGTCAGGAGTCTTAGGAAACAGTAGTACAGGAGGGTAGGTGTCACTGATTTGTATAGATATTTTAATTTTATTTTTTCCTTTTGTCCTTGGTCCACTTCTTTGCCTCCTTTTACTTCCTCTGTCCCCTTCAGAGTTGAGGGTCAAGTAGGATGGGGAGATGAGGGAGCCACCTCATCTAGGGTCTTTTCACCTAGATAGTGCTCTTTGGCCCCCTCTTGGCTGTCACATGTTTTGTGACATAGCTGACCTTTTTTTGTGGGGACACATTAGTGGTTCTTTTGAGATGCCCCTTCCAACATCTCACCTCCCCATCTCAGAGACCTTGCAAGGACATTTCCTGAGGTCCTTTCTTTTGACCTCTGTAACCCTCCATCCCAGGTCTCATCCTGAGCCTCCTTTTGCTGGGAGACAGCCCACCAGCATGTGCTGGGTCTTTTTGGGGGGTGCCTGGAGGCCTTATGAGCTACCCGCTTAGCCCCTGGGGAAGTTCATTATCTTTGTCCTGACATGCTTGCCTCAGCCTCCTGCTCTCCTCATGCTGCCCTCCTGGCAGCTGCAGCTGGCCTCTTCCTGCTTCTCCAGGTGAGGGGCAAGCCCCTCTAGCTCCCAGGAGCTCCCTGAGTGCTGATCCACAAACAGTGCAGGGTGGATCAGGACTTTGGGATACAGGGCCATGCAATGCCATTTTCCTTCCTTGCAAACACCCTGACCTTTGCTCGAGGTTCTTTTCTGTACCCAGGGAGCAGGGAGAGACACTGTGGAGCACTCCCCCTTTTTACCTTCCCTAATGTGTCAGCTCTGAAATGGTCTGTGACAGAGTGGTTTGGCCACCATGTAGCAGGTCCTATAAAGATGGGCCTCGTGTCTGTCTTTACAGGTGGAGTGTTTATCACCCACTGTCCTTAGTCTTGAGTCCACAGAAAGAGTCCCAGACTATGCTCCCATAAGGCTGCAGTGCCTGGCCGATGCTAAACACCCAGTGCATGTTAGCCTTCATCCTTATCTACCCTTTTTGGGCTTCTGTGATCTCATGTGAGAAATGAAGTTCACGGTCAGCTCTACTCTGCCTGCTCTTAGGGTTGTCAATGTGTGAGAAGGTTTTGTAAGTCGATTTTATCTTTCTGCTTAGCCTCAACAGAATGGGATCTCTCCACGCATGTTTAAGGCCTTTGTCAGCAAGAGCCACCCAGAGTTCTCCTCCAACAGGCAGCAGGATGCCCAGGAATTTTTCTTGCACTTGGTGCATCTCGTAGAGGTGAGTCTTCAAAAATGCTCAGAGAGCTGTAGAAGTGCGTGTGGGAGTCCGCCGTGGCGTGACCAGAACACCCCAACTCTCCTTACCTTGCAGCTCTCTGGGCCCAGGGCACTTGATGTGACCATTCCTCAAGCCCTGGGTTCCAGAGACTGGTGGATCTGCCAGTGTTTCTTTTAATCTGTGCATGTTATAGGAGTGTTTATCAATTATTTCATTGGCCCTTGTTTTTGGTCCCTAAACAGAGCCCCTGGAGAACCCCACGTGGTACTTGGTGTCCTCCTGCACAGCTCAGAGGTCACACTGCTCTCAGCAGAGTTGAGTCATATTAAATACTGTGGTTTTTAAAAGCTACTGAAAATCCTAAGGCCTTTGTCTCCCCTTAAAAAACAACCATCCCCCCCCCCTTCTGATTACAAAATCCATCTATATGGTCACGTCATACATGCTTTAATTTTTCCAGGACAATTATTTCCTCCCTTTCTTTTTCATTTGGGTCCTACCCTCTTTTTCTTCTAATTCCATTCATGTATGTTGGTCCTTCGGCCATGATTTTTTTTTTTTTTGTACTTGGGGATTGAGCCCAGGGTGCTCTACTGCTGAGTTACCTCCCTATCTCTCTTCCACACTGATTCTTTGAAAAAAAAAACTTTTTGAGGCARGATCTCAATAAGTTGCTGAGACTTGGTCTCAAATTTGCCATCCTCTGGCTTCAGCCTTCCAGGTTGCAGGGATTTACAGATGTTTGCCACTGTGCCCCGCAGGTCCTCCATGATTTTTAATGGCTGCATAATATCATTCACAGATGAACTAGAAYTTATTTAATCAATTTCCCAGTTTTGGATGTCAGATAAATTCCAGTGTTTTGTTGTAAAGTACTTTGATGGACTGTCATGACCAGGGGAAATATTTAGTAAAAGCCAGGTCTTCATAGTAGGTTGACAGTCGATATTATGTTAATTTTTATTCATGGCTGTTAAACATTGCTAAATTTACTAATGTGATATAATCCAACCTTCAGAGGAACCGCATCGGCTCAGAAAACCCGAGTGATGTTTTTCGGTTTTTGGTGGAAGAGCGTATTCAGTGCTGTCAGACCCGGAAAGTCCGTTATACGGAGAGGGTGGATTACCTGATGCAGTTGCCCGTGGCCATGGAAGCAGCAACCAACAAGGGTAACTGTTCCAGAGCCGGAAACCAGCCCCGTGTGGCTTTGTGTGGAAAACCCTGCACCAGAGGCAGAAGCGGGGGACTCAGGAGCAGCCAGGGCTGAGACCTGACGGCATCTGGCTTGCACATCACCTGTCACCTTTTCCTTAATCCCTGTGGGACTTTGGAATGCATTGCAGGTTTTATGGAGGCATTCTGGGTGGAACCTACTTTAATGCCTATGAATTTGGCCAATTGGTTGGAGTCAGTGTGACTTTGGGGGAAATTATTTATAATGGTGGACGTAGAAGGTTCTTTGACACATCCCTCATAGGTTGTGCTGTGAGGTCTGAGGGAAACGATCAGGTCAGGACTGCCTTTTTTGGTGTAAAGAGGTAAGTGGAGGTCAATCTCTTGAAATAAGTCGGCTTTCGAATCTGGCACTGTTTATGGCACCTCTAGTGGGATGTTAATTGGGGCAGGGCACTTTGTAGGAGAAGGCCCATTAGAAGGGTCTAGAGACTTGGGAAGGGAGAACAAGCTAGAGATACCTTAGTCTTGACAGTTCTTGGAAGTTTCTTCTCCTTCCATCAGTCTGATCCAGTCCTTCCCAGGCAAAATAGGGGAATGGTATTAGAATTAATATCTCAGAGGAGAGAGAGGCAAAATGGCTATTGGACTGCTTATCTTTTAGAAGCTGGTCATTTTTGTGAAGGTCAACATTTCCGTGGGTGACCTCTTTTCCAGTGTGTGTGTGTGTGTGTGTGTGTGTGTGTGTGAGAGAGAGAGAGAGAGAGAGAGAGAGAGAGAGAGAGAGAGAGAGTGTCAGCTTATTGTAGTTGGAAAGTGATGATCATAATGATTTTCAGATGAAATGATTTCCATCTTCTATAAGCTCATATAGCTTTTGACCAATTTTTAAGCTGTTATCCATCATGCAAGGTAGAGAAATAAGGGATGTATGGTTTGTTTCTTTTTAAGAACTGGGATTAATTGGTCTCTCTTGCCCATCTCAGGGCTGCTGACTTACATGTCCTGCTCAGTTCCATCAGTCTAAATAACAGAGAGATTCCCCAAAGATGAGTGGGTTTATTTGGGAGCAGCATTGCAAAGGGAATGTGCATGCTTTAGGAAACTCTGTAAGTATTCCAAGAGGTTGAGGAAAGGGGGAAGTTTTGAAGGGCAAAATGAGGAGAATAATGTGAGTTGTTTCTGTACATTAATCCTTGGTTCAGTGATCAGTAATAAGTGTGGCTTCTGTCGAAGAATGAACAGTTCTGGGCAGGTGTCCTTACAGAAGTATTTTCGGTGCAAGGTTATGGTGGACTTTGTGTGAGGTTGTGGTTCCGACAGTCTTTTGTGACAGTTCTTGTTATCAGACATATAAGGATGACATCCCTTCTTTCAAAACCTCCCTGCTTAGTGTACTTTTGTTGTTAGGGTTTGACAAAAGTGACTCCATTTTGATTTTAGCCACTTCCACAGTCCCATGGTCTCTAACTCACCATTTATAATTTAAAGGTAGTAACTATCTTTTTTTTTTTTCTCAAAAGGATATTTACAATTTAGTCCCTGGAAATTGGTCCCTAGAAACCCTTCATGTTCTTCTCACATATAAGTGCATCATCAAGTAATTGTGGACTAGGGAAATGAAATAGGAAATGAAATTGGAAAATACATGTGTGTATAAATGGGCTTAAAAACTGACCTGTCAGGAATGAATTTTTGTTATAAAAGAATTGACCAGAAAGGCCATTCAAAATACCTGTGAAGTTTTGTCTGCAGTTAGTTTCCAGGGACAGATCTGCTGACTCCTGGGAGGTTCCTTGTGCACTCACTTCTTTTTCCCTCAGAATTTGATCACTTAAGGAGGGATCATACAGAGAGGCTTCCAGGTGGACAGGTGGGCTGCTTTGACATCTGAGGCGCTGCAATCCTTGACAGGCAGGCGTCTTGGCAAGGTTGATTGTCACAGGAGGTGTGATGGCAGAAAACTGCAGTCCTCATTTTCATCCTCCTCCTTGGCCCCGCCACACCTTGGAACCTGTGACCAACCATAGTTGCTGATGGAACCAAATCAGAAAATGTTGTACCGTGGGGTCTGGTGATGGTGAGGAGCTGTAGTTCTCTTTATTTATTTATTTTTTAAAAACTCCTCCATTGGTCATTTTATTTTAGTTTATAAAGTTTATAAAGTTCACAGGAATATGTTCATGTTTTTGTGTTTGATCCTTTGCAAGATTTGACCACTGGACACAATTTAATATCCCTTTCTGGCCTCCTTTGTGAGTAGCAGGGGCATGCTAATCAGGGTTTTAAGTCTGACTTTGTCAGTGATTAACTGGCTTTGAACTTGGGCCTCAGTTTCTTTACAAGGGAGTGAGGGGCTTGGGAAGAGGCGAGACCTTGGATCTCTTTCAGCTTCAGAGTTCTCTGGGGTGAAGGTCTGTGTTTTGGAGGATGGCATTTGGGTAATTCCAGGATTGACCTCTAGGCAAATGAAATACCAGGTTCATGCACCATTATATCACATGCATGATCTGAACCAAGCACAGTCTCAAACAGGAAGAGAAAAAGGTGAATGACTGGTTGCAACCTATCAGTGCTACTCCAAAGACATTCCAGAGAGCATCAGCCTTATCTGGATCTGAGAAGGGCAATTATCTCTCTCTCTCAGACCCTGACCTAGCCCAAGAAGCCTTCAGGGAAGTTTGTTCAAAGAGGAGGTTTTTCTTTTCAAGAAGACCAGAGGGATTGCAAGGTCATTCTTCTTCTTCTTTTTTTTTTTCTCATTCAGATGAACTGATTGCCTATGAACTAACGAGAAGGGAAGCAGAAGCCAACAGAAGACCCCTTCCTGAGCTGGTGCGAGCCAAGATACCCTTCAGTGCCTGCCTTCAGGCCTTTTCTGAACCAGAAAATGTTGATGATTTCTGGAGCAGCGCCCTCCAAGCAAAGTCTGCGGGTGTGAAGTGAGTGTGTGTGGTCGTGGGGCGAGGAGGGAGGGGCCTTGAGAGGTGGGGACGGGGTAAGGGAGAGGAGGCAGGGTGTTCCAGGAGTCTGCACATGCTTGTTCCTGTGTGGTGGGATTGGATTATGAGTCATACAATCTGATGGTCAAGGATTGCACCTACCTGAGACCTGTCCTTTAAGGCAGGCTTATATTTTATATTATGCACTAAGAGGGAAAGGGAGTGCTGTTTCTTTTTTCTTTTTTTTTTTTTTAAGTGCAACATTTTGGTTTGTTCTTTGTTAGGAATTTGCCTTTCTTTTTAATTTTTTTTCTTTTCTGAATTTTTGTTGGTGTGATGAGCTTACAGTCAAGAAACATCCCTATCCCCATGTGACAAGAATGATGATTAATGAAGAAATTATAAAACTCTTTATGTCAGGCTTCAGTATTTCAACTCCACTGGGGTATCTTTTAGTTCTGTAATCAAGATTTGGCTTTGAACTTGGTTGACTGTGTTCCCATTTGAAGACTCGGAGTCTCAGGGCAACTCAAAGTGGGGATAAGGGCTTCTGAAGATTGTTCAAAGGAGCTGATCAGGACTTGGTCAGGAGATGTCCTCTGTTCATATTGTGAAGCTGGTTGTCAGATTCATGCAATTTTTTTTTTTTTCTGTACTTGGCACCTTAATTGATTTGACACAGTCGGTCCTTGCTAACATACTATTTGTTGCTGCACTTAATTTCAGAAAGAGTTATAGTCGTATGAAATGAGGGAGGGTCTGCAAGTTTGGCTCTGGGAGTTTTGCTTCTTTTAGATATTCTTTGGCCTTCTCTGAGGCTAAGTCTGAACTCTCAGTTGATGCAAACAAAGCTGAGTGAAGGTTGGAGAGTTTTTGCTGACTGTTTTTACCATACCTCAACGAGCAGTCAAGTCTGGAATCAGTTATACTCTGCAAAACCCATCTCTCAGGATTCTGCTTTATTTCAGATTAGAGATTTCACATATTAAAAATGGGAAAGGAAGACAAGTGATTTCAAAACAGAAAAAAACCGAAGCCATATTTTCCTAAAATTAAAAAGATCCATACTCAAATGAGTTCTACTAATAGTTCATTTAGTTGTTAGCTATCCATCTTGGGGTAAGTTTTCATCCCAGGATTCCCGGTTATGGTTTTTTTTTTTTTTTTGTGTGTGTGTGTGTGTGTAGATATTTATGTTGTGTTGTGTTTGTGCATGCGTGTGTGTTTGTGTGTCCTTGCTGATGACAGTGGGTAGCTGGCATTTGAGAGACACTGTAACTTGGAGACACCTTTGGGCAGTGAGAAACCCTCACAGCCCATTAGCGATGGAGAAGTTTTTCTTTAATCATTCACTATGAATTGAAGATTCTTCAAACATTTGTTCTTTTCTCTTTATGCTTTTGTTGTGATTTTGTATGGGGGGTAGAAAGGGATCATGGATCTGGGAGCCTGGAAAGCCCCAGGCCAGGTGTAAGCTGCAGAATGGAAGTGTTCTTCCTTTCCCTGGACCCTGGCCACTCCTCTCTGCTCTTCAGAACAGTGACCTGGTGCCTTAGAGTGCTGGGTACGATACGCTGTCCAGGCCTGCCGTTCCCCGCATGTGTCCTGCCAGGAAGGAGCCTTCTCAACACTTGGAAAAGACCCATCTTTAAAATGGGGCTGGAAGGCATTCGCTTTCCACAGATGGACGGATCCTCTGAGCCCTATGCTGGTGTTCAGGAGATCCGGATTCTTCTGTGTGCACTTCTCGGCTTATCTTGGGTTTTGGGCAAAGTCACTGCCCAGTGTTCTTCTCCCATCTGTAGTGGAGAAATGTCTCCATCAAATGCTACCAAAATATTCAGTTGTGGGCTGTGCTAACATCTAGAATCCTTGAGGAGTTTCTATAGTGCTTCAAAGTAGCTATTTCTCTGCAGACACACAATGCCCTGTTGAGTTTTTTTTTAAAATATATATACGTGAAATAATTAGTAGTAGGTGTATGATAATGGAAAAAATGGTTCTTGTTGGAAAGAAAAAAAATGTTAAAAGTAATAAAACAATGATCATTTATTGAACATTTATTGTCAGAGCATGAGTCAGACAGTTCCCATTGGTTATCGCATTTAGTCCTCTTCATAGTGTACGTTACTCTCCCATTTTACAGATGAGGAAATAAAAGAAGTAATTGGCCAGCAAAGGGTAGACTTGAGATTCATTCAGGTCTGACTGAGTTTAGAGATTAAGTTCTTAAATGCTGTACTATGTAAGGACCTCCTATTCCTTAACATGCGTATATGGATTTCCTTGTTCTTTAATATGCTTGATCATGTTTTAAATACTGTCTTTGGGAAAATCAGTTAGTGGACTCTAAACATTATTAGTTTTGTTTCTTTATTTCCATCAGGGAAGGCCGTGACTCAGCCTATACATTGTTAATTTGGGAACTTGAACGTTTCTTTCATTAGACCTAGAGCCTGAAAGGCCAGAAAGAGGCAAAAGGTGTCCTGAAGATCTTGGTGGACTTCATGGGTCACTGTGGTCCAGACATGATGGCCCTTCCCTTATGTGGTCCCAAATGGACCATGTCTGGGAAGAACATTTAGGGTATGAAATGTTCATTCACCCAGCAATTGTTATTGCTCCCCTGATATATTCTAGACAGCAAGAGGAGCAAGACCTGTCTCCTGCCCTCAAACAGCTCTCAGTAAAGGTTTGAGAGGGAGAGATTTCCACTCCCCCTTTATCAGTCATGCAGAGAAGAGCGTGGTGTAGGCTCTAGAGCACACCCTCTAGGTCAGCTGTGTGGCCCTTGAATCTCCAGTCTAGACTTTGGCCACTTGACCTCACCTCCCCAGGCCCTGGGTTCCTCATTTGTGAACTGGGATAATACCGGAACTTTCTTCCCAGAGTTAGGGTGAAGATTAAGCCAGCTAAGCCACTAGAAATGCTGTGCACAGTGCCCGGCACAGAGGGACTGCAGGATTCCAATGTTATTAATCTTCATCTTTCCTTTTTTGGGGTGCTTGAATTATATGAGTGGTTGATTAATTATCGTATTTTCTTTTTTTTTTTTTTAAAGAGAGAGTGAGAGAGGAGAGAGAGAGAGAGAGAGAGAATTTTTAATATTTATTTTTAGTTCTCGGCGGACACAACATCTTTGTTGGTATGTGGTGCTGAGGATCGAACCCGGGCCGCACGCATGCCAGGCGAGCACGCTACCGCTTGAGCCACATCCCCAGCCCAAATTATCGTATTTTTCAATGTACTTATTAAAAGGGGTAGAATTTTTTTTGTGTGTGTTTTATTTGCCAAATTTTTAATAAAATAGACAATCATTTTAGGGAGAGGGGTAGCTTGTATTTTTTTTTAATAAAAAGTCTTCATAGTATTTTTGCCTTAATTGTAATTAGCGAACAATTGGCATATTTTAAATAATGTTGTCAGGGCCTACTCGTAAGGGTTTTATGTGTTTTAACTCATTTAATTCCCATAATGACTATTTGAAGTAAATTATATGTTCATTTAGACCAGTGGAATGATTTGTATACTGATAGCTTTTCTTAAAAATGCACGGCTTTCAAGAAAAATTTTAATTCCAGGAATTGATTTTTTCGGAACAAAAGAGTATGTAAAAGAGCATAATTTATGACATTGTTATATTTAACAAATTTTATGACCCTGAATAGGGATTAATGGATGTAGAACACTGTTACTTTTGAGATGAAATGAACAGGTTCATATTGAGCAGTTGCTATGTGTAGGGTCAACTAGAACCCCTATTGAGGCTGTAGAGACAAATAAAGAATGTTTAGGGTGAATCCAGTGAGGAGACATGTGTCCTGTCCTCTCACCCTCTTAGGTGATGCGTCAAATGACCCCCGCCATGCCCTCCCCAACCACACATTGCCCACCATCCACATAGATTTGGCAGCTAAAACTTTACCTAGATGCTGACCCAGAGCCATGGCAAGAGCCTCAGGACTCCTGCATCATATTTAAAATCATTGATTTAGTGATGACTTTTGGTGAAATTCACTGTTAGGTATTTTCCAGATTTTAACTTACTGTAAGAAGAGAAGGTCAGAAAAGTAACATCTTTGCATTAGTTGAAAATATAATACCAGTGGAGTTTGTTGGATTTTGTTGAAATTGAGGACTTTGCTACATTTGAATAAGAGTGATGTTTATTCCTGCTTCTCAGAAGATTGAAAAACCTAATTAGAGATAATATCAATTTCTGGAGAGAGCCAGGATTTTCTTAGCATGACAAAGCTCCTGTTTTCTGGACGGCTCCCTTATGTTATTGCCTATAGCCGCCTACCATCCTTGTGATGGAGAATTTGGGAGACAGAGAGGCTTACATAACTTGTCTGGGGTAAAATAAAAGTCAGCAATACATTGATTCAGTGTCTTAGACCTCAAGGATTAACAAAATTCATGGCAATTTCTTAGGCATATATCATATTTTCTGTTGTGCCAAGTGGTTTTATACTATTTCATGAACATTACACAGCCAAGGAAGGTAGATTTTATTAATAAATCAATTTTTAAGGTGTATAAACAGAGCCTCAGGAGTGTCAATGATTTGTTGAGATTTGGAGTACATTGAGGGACATAGCCAAGACCCGAATCCACATCTTTCCACTCTTTTTGTAGTGTTCTCTGCCCTATGCTATTGCTTATCTTTTACACTAGAGGGCAGCATTGCATTTGCTTTGTGAATTATGAGCTGATGCATTCTAAATAGAAGGCCCCCGGGGGGTTCAGATTTGAAAAGTGGGGTCTTTGCGAGGGAGTTCTAGAATCTTTACTTGTAATATTTGTCTAGTACTCATTTTCTTTTTTACACACTCCTACCACACCCACATTGACTACAAAAAAAAAAAAAAGAGTTATAAATGTGGAGTGAATGAGCTAATCCTGGGCTGTGAATTTGGTATACAAATTGAATAATCTGCATAAAACTGTCAAACCCAAGCCCAGGTATTTTGAGCTTTCTGAAAGTTTGAGAGAACACAAGATATTGCACACATTTATTAGTTTTAAATTTTAAGTCTCAGATTTAGATAGATTATATAATTGTCCCATAACATAGCTACCTTTAGGATCAATGGATTTAGGTGCAGTACTATTTAATGAGGCCCTGGAATTTCCAATAGTCCACCTCAACCAAAGTTCCAGTAAGCTGTCCATATGCCAATTCTGTGTGGTTAGGTAGTGATTCTCAGTGGGAATGGAGGGATAGGTGTTTCAGGATCACTCAGGGAGCTTTATAGCCACTCAGTGCTATAAAGCACACACGCCTCTGAACACCTACAAACACAGAAGCTATATTTCAGTAAGGAGGTTAGAAAAACAAATGCTTGAAAGTATGTTTCAGAAATATAAAGTGTTACAGCAAAGTGAAAATAATAATTTTGAAATGGGCTCAATCATTCTCAAGGGACAAGATTCTTCCACATTAAACATTTTCTTCTTGGGGAGAGGCCAGATGGAGTGAGCAGGAATGAGTGTGTGCACACTTTTATGACTGTGTTTGAGTGTGTGTGTGCTCCAGCCAATCACAGGAATTGTTAGGTGTGCTTTAGACACAGCTTATTTTGCTTCATGAATTGTATTCACTTTTTTTTTTTTTACCTCATTTAATTGTTGTATTCCCCTTGTGTTTCTCAGAACATCCCGCTTTGCCTCATTCCCAGACTACTTGGTCGTGCAGATAAAGAAGTTCACTTTTGGTCTTGACTGGGTTCCCAAAAAATTTGGTATGTATCTTTTTGCATGCTTTTGCTTAAAATGTCAACTTTGCCATTTAAAACACATGGCCTATGACGGAGCCCATGTAATTGACTCCACAAATAGTTCCATCACGTTCTTTTTTGCAATATCCTGCCTTTCCCTTTTGAATACAGGATAGGCACTAATGATTAAAATGACCACATACCAGTCCACTCCCCTCCAGTAATGGGTGTAGAAATGACCAGATTCTGAGAGTGAAAGCTGGGCTCTCCTGTCCTACTCCCGTGCATACAAATTACCTGGGATCTCAGGAAAATGTGGATGCTGATTCTGCAGGTCTGGGGTGGACTGAGATTGTCCTTCCTTCTAACAAGCTCCCAGGTGCTGCTGGCCCAAAGACCACACTTTGAGTAGCTTTAGTTGGAGATATGCCTTCTTCCTAGCATCCCTCCTCTGCCTCTGAGGCAGTTGGCTGTAGCTAGTGACATTTCCTTAAATCACACAAATCTCCTTAATAATCTAATAGAAATGGTTGCATTAAACAGTCAAAAATGGGACGTGATTCTGACTTCATTGGGCTTTATTCTTGCTAATTTTAAAGGCCCTTGACCATTGTTAGAGTTTAATTTTCAAGACAATGCTTAAAACCTTTTTCTTACAATCGGGATTGAATATGAAGGCTGTTAGGCTGCCCTCCGTGCTGTGGAAAAGATGTATAGTTTTACCCTGTGTTGTGTAGTTTCCCAAGCAGGTATTTACGACTGCCTGTCTTACAGTTTCTATGCAACTGTACACTTATGGAAACAAAAGAAAACAAAACAGGGCAAGTCTTATGGCTAACCAAGCACTTGCCAGAGGAGATAGGTAAAAAGAATGTAAAATCCACTGGAGAGATTCCCAGGACCCCTGGGCACTGTCAGATACGAGGCCATTGTTTGCCAAGGGAAGTCGTGTTGGAGAGGGCCACTGAAAACCAGGGGCTCTTGCTTTGGCTGCTGGGGTAGTTTTCTGGGTGGAGTGGGGCTGAGAGCAGATGCGGATCACCCAGCTTCTCTGCTGGACCCTGAGAGAGCCTTTAGTTACCTGAGAGAAGAAACTGATTTGTTCTAAAGGCTTTGGCCTACTTAGGAAACAGTTTTCTTATTTTTCCTTATCCTTGGAATTTCTATAAGGAACAAAAATTTGAATCAAACTTTATTGATTTTCTGAATTTCATGGAGTCCTAAAGCTAAACAGGTTATTTTGTTTTTTTTGGCACCGGGGATTGAACCCAGAGGCTCTTTACCACTGAGCCATATCCCCAGCCTTTTTTATCTTTTTATTTTGAGACATGGTCTCCTTGAGTTGCTTAGGGCCTCGATAAGTTGCTGAGGCTGATCTCAAACTTTTTTAAAAAAAATATTTATTTTTTTAAGTGTAGTTGGACACAACACAGTGCCTTTATTTTTATGTGGTGCTGAGGATCGAACCCAGGTCCCGAAATCCTAGCCCTGACCTCAAACTTTTAATCTTCTACCTCATTCTCCTGAGTTGCTGGGATTATAGGTGTGCACCATTGTGCCTGGCTAAACTGAATTTTTAATGAACCTGAATTTTCCTCATGAGGAAAAATTKTATCAATTTTGCTGGTCAATTTTTGCTTCCCCCTGAAATTAAAAAATAAATTTAAATAAAAACTTGACTTTGTTCTTTGAGTTGTTCTAAAGTAGGATATATATTCCCAGTATCATAAATGGTTTGGGGGACAAAATTTTTTCAGGTTCTGTTTGCTTGCCATAAGACATCCTGCCCCAGCATTTGAATTTGTTTTTCGTTATTATTTTATCTGAATATATGCAATGCTAAGTCTCCACATGCTATTATAAATTTTGTATATGAGTAAGTCAACATAATAACAACTGAACCAAAAAAGGGCTTCAAGAAAAATGTGTCCCTAGGACTCATGCACTTGAGATTTAATTAATTTCTTTAGAACTTCATTATTTATTACCTTAGAATGATCACAGTACCTATCATGATTTGGAAAAGCTGTCAACTAGGATTATAAACTCAAATGCCTATTAAGGACAGGGTGTAGTAAACTAAATGAAAGAAGTAGGCTGGGATAAGAAATACACAGCCATGATCTTTGTAAAGACATAGATTAGAAAATCATCTCTCTACCATAAGAATCCGAATAGTGTGAATATGATGCTTGGGGTTGTAGGGGTAATAGGGAAGAGTGGGGTCTGTGTCAGAGCGCCAGTGTCCAAGTAGAAGCTGAAGGTCAACTCCAGATGGTTGTTACTACATGAGAATATGCTATTTCAAAATAAGTTGGAAACCTGAAACTTTAAAGGAACTTTAAAGATTTAAAAATTGGAATATGTTGCCATCATCTAAAAAACATCAAATAGAATGTGTCTAAATTATGACTGATCTGTGAGCTGGCAGTCTGTGACCTCTGGCTCAGTGGATTTATTCTCCTTTCAGTGGGAAATCCTGCTGCCCTCTATACTTACCCGAGTTCTCCATTAACCTCTCATTAGTCTCGATGGATCTGCTGGTCTGGTGATCTGTCTGCTGACCGCTCCTTCAGCTCTGCCTAGACACATGCAGATAGATTCTGAAGTCCTGGTTTTATAATTAGGTGATTATGGGCTGGGGATGTGGCTCAAGCGGTAGCGCGCTCGCCTGGCATGCGTGCGGCCCGGGTTCGATCCTCAGCACCACATACCAACAAAGATGTTGTGTCCGCCGAGAACTAAAAAATAAATATTAAAGAAAAAAAAAAACAAAAAAAAATAATTAGGTGATTATGGAGTTTTGGACAGTCCTGTGAATATTATGCCTCTCATTTTTGCAGACGTTTCTATTGACATGCCAGACCTACTTGACATCAGCCACCTCCGAGCCAGGGGGTTACAGCCAGGAGAGGAGGAACTTCCGGACATCAGTCCCCCCATAGTCATTCCTGATGACTCAAAAGGTACCCGGCCTCCAGGAGCATGTGCTGCACCCGCCACCCTCCTCCACAGGACCATCACTTTCTTAGGGTGTCCCGTGGCTGCCTTCCTGTGATGTGGCCCACCATAGATAACACAGAATTGAGGCGTGGCTGCAACTTTAAACTAGAAATTCACCCCACAAGGGCACAGACCCATCATGAGTAGTTGAGGGGGAGAGTTTTTAGGTTGTATTGTCTCTGACTGTGGCTTTCTCCCTTCAACTCCACCTCTGCTTCCCCCAAATGGGAAAAGGAGTTGTTTCCTGCCTGTGGGGAAGAGATGTCTTTAGTGGCTCTTAGTCTAGGGGACTGTGTTATTCTTGCCAATGCCTCCAGACAACCAAAAGGGGCCATTCAACAGGGTGTGTTGGTTTAAAAAGTCTGGATCAGATTTCACCTCTCCAACTTGGTCACTGCTTCTTAGCAAGGGCATGTTTTGAGTTTCCTCTTACTCTGATCACTAAATTGGTCATCTCTCAGGATCTAGAACTTTATTATATTTTTTTGCAGTGCTGAGATGGAACCCAGGGCCTGACACATGTTAGGCAGGCACTCTACCGGTGAGCTGCACCCAGCCTTCAGAATATATTTTTTTGCAGTGCTGAGATGGAACCCAGGGCCTGACACATGTTAGGCAGGCACTCTACCGGTGAGCTGCACCCAGCCTTCAGAATACATCATTTTTTTTTTCTTTTGGTACCAGAAAGTGAACCAAAGGGCACTTAACCACTGAGCCACAGTCCCAGTCCCTTTTACTTTTTTTATTTTGAGAAAGGGTCTTGCTAAGTTGCTTAATGCCTTACTAAGTTGCTGAGGCTGGCTTTGAATTTGTGATCCTCCTGTTTCAGCCTCTTGAGCCACTGGGATCACAGGTGTGTGCCTCGGCACCTGGCTAGGTGAAAGTACAAGCAAAAAAATAGGTGCTTTACCTTCATGGGTTCAAAAACAGTGTCATAAAATTCTTGGTTTAATTATTAGCTTAGTTCTTTTGATTAAATCAGTTTCATTCTGGCTTTGTTTGCTCACCTGTTTGCCGTTTGTCTTCCTAATGAGTTCATTAGGTAAATTAGCTAATAATGATAGGGCCCTCTGGGCTCCTCTGCCAGGTTTCCCATCAGTTGAGTAGTGAAGGTTATTGCTGATGTTCAGTCCTGCAGAAGGGTGAGAGGAATGCCCAAGCAGTGAGATAGGATTCAAGGCAGGACTCTGTTAAATTGTTCTCTAATGCAAAGTCACGTGCTAAATTGTAGAGACAGGTGAGAAGGGAACTGCACAGGAGGCCCTCTGGGTCATGTGGACAGGTGGTTCCTGAGAGGGGGTAGGAAGGAGATGTATGAGCATCACAGAAGCACAGACTGGTTAATGAGCATAGCTCTCATGCTTTCCAATCTAACAGAGTCCTTGGTTTGTAATTATACAGAGTTCTTCTTAAAAATACTGGGAGAAAAATTGAGTTCACGAAGATGCTAATCAGAACATTATGTCTTATCAGTTCTAAATGCCCCAAACCTGTTATTTTCCCTCATTACTGTAATCACTTTATGTTATGAAGACTGCAGTGGTCTGTGTGGGGCCCTTAGGGGTGCAGGGTTTAGGGAATGCCCTGGATTGATGGATTTTCTTTTTCTAAAACTCTTGGTCAGGGCTTGGTCTCATTTTCTGCTTTCTCCCTTAATTTCCAGATCGGCTGATGAACCAATTGATAGACCGTATGTACCTTTTAAAATATTTCAGTAGTTATTTTTCTGTGACAGTTTAGCAGAGTGTCATTTTTCTGTGTGTGTGTGTGTGTGTGTGTGTGTGTGTGCATGTGTGTGTGCATGCGTGCATGTGTGTGCATGTGTGTGTGTGTGTGTGTGTGTGTGTGTGTTTAGCCTTTCCTGGGTGGGAACCATTCTTTGTGAGTTGAGGAAGCAGTAAATGTAAACCAATGCCGTGATGATTAGGTAGCCCCTCGAGGCTCAGGAACGTGACAGCCACTCAGCCCTGAGTTGGAACCTTGGCTTTGCCATTTTTGCCTGTGTGACTGGAATGATTTACTTACCATCTCTGAGCCTCTGTTTCCTCAAATGTGAATGGAGGTTAAGGATGCCATTTCCTCCCTTAAATAGTTGATGATTTAGATGGCTTAGGACAAAATGAGCCATTATTTAACACCAACAGAAGAGTGCTTTATTTGGGTAGCCTGTGGATAAGGGGGGAAGAGCATCTAAGATGAGAAGAAATGGAGAGTGACCGTTGTTTCACATGAGAGTGTCCCACCCTGTTCTGCAGCCTCCGACATCGATGAGTCATCAGTGATGCAGCTGGCCGAGATGGGCTTCCCTCTGGAAGCATGTCGGAAGGCTGTGTACTTCACGGGAAACATGGGAGCCGAGGTGGCCTTCAACTGGATCATTGTTCACATGGAAGAGCCGGGTAAGTGGTGGGACTGTGGAATGGCTTTGGAGTCTGATGCTTGGTAATGCTAAGCCTTGGTTCTTCTCTGTCCCCTTTGGATATGTCCCCAGGAAAATAACATTTCAGCTCATGATCTGCTATAATAGTAGACAAAGTCACAATCTTTGTCTTTATTTCTCTTCTTTTAAATAACAGCTTTATTGAGGCATACTTTGTCCCTTTATTCATTTATTTTAATTTGCAGTAGCAAAATGATTGTTAGATAGATGTAGGCTATCCATCTCTCTCTCTCTTTTTTTTTTAACTGGGGTTTGAACTCTGGTGTGTGTCACCACTGGGCCATGCAACTCAGTGAAACAGGGTCTCACTGAGTTGCATAGGGCCTTGATAGGTTGCTGAGGCTGGCTTTGAACTCACAATCCTTCTGCCTTAGCTTCCCGAGCTGCTGGGATTACAAGCATGTGTCACTGCGCCCAGCTGTGGGATATACTTCTAATGAAGAGACCATGAAATTTCAAATGGAAACATCTGCATAAAGGAACAGAGACCCTTTAGTTAGCCTTTCTTTTATCTACTCTATTAAGATATAATTCTCATGTCTATCCATTTAAAGTCTCCATTCTGAGGGTTTTTAATAAATTCAGTTATGCAACCATTCTCACTACCTAATTTTAGAACACTTTTGTCTACCCTGGAGAAATCCTGTCCACATTAGCAGTCCTTCTTCAGCTCTTCCCTGACCCTGGTGACCTGAGTCTACTTTTTGGAACTATGAATTTTCCTCTTTTGGACATTTCATCTAAATAGAATCATATAAGAGCATCATGTTTTCAAGGTTCATGTGTTGTCAGCATAAATCAGTTCTTCATTCCTTTTTAAGCCAAAGAATATTCTGTTGTACAGACATACCTTATTTTATTTATCCTTTCATCAGTTGATGGACAATTGGGTTCTTCCCACTTTTTATCTTTTATTAAGAATGCTGCTGTAAACATTGTGTACATGTTTTCTTTTTGTGTGTGAATAGATGTTTTCATTCTCCTGAGAGGAATTGCAGTCATGTGGTCACTCCATGTTTAACTTTTTGAGGAACTGCAAAACAGTTTTACACAGTGGGCTGAACCATTTTACATTCCAGTTTCTTCTAAAAGCTCTATAGTTTTAGGCCCTACTTTTGGATCAGAGATGCATTTTGAGCTAATTTTGCTCATGGTATGAGGTAGGGGTCTGACGTCATCATTTTGTATGTGGTTAGCCAGTTGTTCCAGCATCCTTTGTTGAAGAGACTGGCCTTTCCCACTGAAYAGTCTCATTGAAAATTAGTTCACTGTAGATAGATGGGATTATTTCTAGACTCTCAATTCTGTTCAGTTGATCTATATGTCTTTCCTGATACCAGTCTCAGACTGACTTGATGTTGTTAATGTTGTAGGTATTTTTCCTTCTTAGCTCTAAAATGTTGTTTATTTCAAGACAAAAAAAAATAAAATAAAATAAATGAAAGAGGCTGGAGTTTGATCATTTTCTCATTTTCCTCAGATTTTGCTGAACCGCTGACCATCCCTGGTTATGGAGGAGCAGCTTCTGCTGGAGCCTCTGTATTTGGTGCTACTGGATTGGACAATCAACCTCCAGAGGAGATCGTAGCTATCATCACCTCCATGGGATTCCAGCGAAATCAGGCTGTGCAGGCGCTACGAGCAACGGTGAGCGTCAGGGACTGGGTGTGTGGACACCCCTGTCCTATTGAAGGTAGTTTGTATTTCTTTCAGAGCAGATGAGACTTTGTAATGTTCTTTGGTCATTTTAAATCACATTTATCTGACTTGGCCCATAAAAACTGGCAAGCATATAGTGTATATAAAGTTAATCTAAATGATTGAAGAAATCATGCACTGGATTTAAGAATAAAGAGATTATAAATCTAGGGCAAGATGACCACACTGCAAGAAACTCCATATTATCTGGGGTTTTTGTTAGTGGGGATCACAGATTTGACCTGGAGTTTGCTGTAGCCTTAGAACCAAGAGGGATGCATGAGTCCATGTTCAGTAAGAAAGTTCTTTAGGTGAAAGCGATGCTTTTCTGATGTCGAGACATTGGAGAAATGTCTCTTGAAAGCCCCCATAGAAGATGGAATGGCACCTTAGAATTCTCTGCTGCTGTTTTTCTCTTTAAAGAGAAGGTTTTTCCAGTACTTAGGAATGTCCTGTTATTATCAGGAAAGAAAGGACCGTGAAACTGGAACATGGTTAGAAATCTTCTTTTTGCAATATGATATCTATTTAATATTCAGGGAAAGTACTTTTTTTTTTAACCCACCCTTCCTTGCCACATCTTGGTCCATTTTTGAGTGGATGTCTGTCACCTATTCCTCCATGCCTATCCTGACTGGGTATACCTCGTAGGATCTGTTGCAGAAGTCACATTGGTTCTTGACTGGCTCATGGGATGGTGGCTGGAATGATGTGTCTTTGTAAAATGCTCAAAATATCTCAACTGGAGTTTCTCACTTAGGGAACTTTCTTGTGCTCACTAATTTTATTTGCTAGAGGGTTTCCTTGGAGTGTCTATGTCTAAACAAGTTCTTTAACCTGCTAGTGGGATCACAAATAGGGGAAGACAGAAATGCTTCCATGGTGACTTGATTTGAGCTGCATAGAGGTCAGTTTAAAACAATAACTCATTAACCAAAGCATTAGTTGTCTCTACTGCAGCTCAACCATTCTCCCAACATTTGGGGAGAGGAGATATAACAAAGTACAGAGGTGGGTCCCCTGCTATCTTGTAGAATTATCTGCAGAAAATGCAGTTGCTAGGGCAGGTAGTGTGTGCTGTCTCTGCGGCTGTAGAAGGGGCTGCACTTGACTGCCATCCCTTTGAATATCCTGCAGCATCATGATCAGTATCTCCTTGCAGAAATGCTGATCCAAGACTGATAGGGGCTTTGGAATGCTGATGGGCTGCTTAGAACTGGTTCCCAGTGAATCCAGTCACAAGCCTGGGTCAGGAGACTTGCAGAATGCCTGCATATCATATGCAGAGTCAGAGCTTCTTGCTCAGAGGCACTTAGGACTAATGAATTCAAGCTTCTTGCCCTATCTGCTAGTCATCTGGTTCAAACGGTCAAGATTTAATGAGGCCCAGGGACTGCATGCATCATAAAAATGTTTTATTTTATTAGAATAATAACCTGGAAAGAGCACTGGACTGGATCTTTAGCCACCCTGAGTTCGAAGAAGACAGTGACTTTGTGATTGAGATGGAGAATAATGCCAACGCAAACATTATTTCTGAAGCCAAACCTGAAGGACCTAGAGTCAAGGATGGATCTGGAAGTAAGTTCTTGTCCTAGACATTGTCTCAGCAGTCATGACTGAACATTCAACTCTTCTTCTTCCCCTCACCAATACATATCCCAACCTTTTGCATCATTTGAAGTTAGTGTGGATCCATCTCCTAAATGGTGCATTCTGCCACTTTGCCTAGAACCCAGGTCTGATAAAGTCTAGGTTAATTCAGAGTCATGTCACCTAGTAGTGTGTGTGTGTGTGTGTGTATGTGTGTGTGTGTGTGTGTGTGTGTTTCATGCCAATTTTGACTTTGTCTGTTCCTTTGAAGTTGATTGTTTTCATGGACCATGGGAGCTTTTGTCAAAAAAGCTGTGTTTTGAACAGTAGAAAAGCAGTCTCAAATCCTTGACTGTGTCATTGCCAGCTGCTGAGAATTTTCTGCAGGGCTATCTCCGTTGACATAGGCCTTTTATAAACAGATGCTACATATGTCACTGTGTGCCTAGATCTGTTCTACACACTGTGCATTTGAACACTCGTTTAATCATCACTACAACCCATTTTAACAGGCGAAAAAGTGGAAACTTGGAGAGATTAGGTACTTTGTCTAAGGTCACACAGCTCTTAAGAGGCAGAGGCAAGATTCAGATGCAGAATCCATGTTCTTAACTATTATGACATCCTGCCTCTTGGGCTGTTGTTGCCTACAGGGTGATGTTTAGCTCTGTAGTCTGGCTTCCCCAGCCCTCCTCGGATCCCAGCCTCCCTTGCTCTGTGTTTGTTAGTTCCTCTGCACCTCCTGTATCTGCAGCTTGGATGCCTGGTACTGTGTCTTCACCACGAGTATACTTAGCTGTCACCCACTTTCTTTTCGCTTCCCTCCAAGCCTTGCTAGGTTAATCTCTATTTGTCAGATATCCTTCTTTTTCTCTGCCACACAGAAAAATCTTTATTGTTCTTTAGAACTTGGCTGCAGATTTCATTTCTCTGTTCTGCTTTCTCAGATCCTTATTATACTCATAATCGGCCCCTATGTATTACATATTCTAGTAATAGTTACACCAATATTGATAATGCTTTCATTTGTGCCACATTCTCCCAGTAGCCCTACTATTCCCATTATACAGGTGGAGTAACTGAGGTAGAGAAGGGTATGTAGTTTTTTGAGTCCACATAGACAGTGATAGGTAGAGCCAGAATAACAACCCAGGCAGTCTGCATCCACAGCCAGTGCCTATAATCACTACAGTGTATTTGTTCTTCTCTTTTTAGAGGTATCACATTAATCTTGCCTTAAGGTTATTTTTGTAGCTCTCTGTGCCTCCCTTTTCACTGGGAGCTTAGACAGGACATAGGCCATTTTATGAAATGGATGGTGTCTGATAGAAAGCACCGAGTAAAGAAAAGTCAGATTTAACTAAATCTATATTTCTAGCATTCGATCCCTGATCATGGAGTTGTGGGTCTACTCACTATTGCTCTCACCAGACTTAACCTGTATGTGTTGATCTAGAGCTGGAGAGAGAAGGTGGAAGGGAAATGTTCTTCTTTTAAAATAAAAAACAAAAATGTATTCACCGAAACTGTTATAATCCCAACCCGGTAAGGAAAGGGTAAGATGTAGTTCTCCCAACTCTCATGTTCATCTAAAGGGTCTGGCATCACTTTTCAGAAATCCCAAGTTTGCCTAAAATATTAGAAGCCATAATGGACAAGTTGCTCAATAATTCACGAGCAGGGTTCATTGCATGTTCCTGGTGCATCGGTTCACTGCTTCTTCAACTTGCTGCTATAGACTTTTTTTTTTGAGATGATGAGTCCTTCCCAGAGAAGGAGTAAACTTCTATAAGTAAAGATGGGGCATTTGACTGCAGGGGGAGATCTGATTACTGGGTTTCCTTTCTTCTGATGGAGTTTGAGGCACTGATCACTTTCTCATATGGCTCTTTGCTAAAGGACAGCCGTGTCACCTCCTCAGAACATACTGAAACTCGGGGCCAGTCTGAGGTAGTCCTGGTCCTGCTGGGTTTCAAGATGCCTCCTCAAATAGGATGCTACGGTGATACAAAAGCACCCATTAAGGCACTATGGGTCAGAGTAGTGGGTGGTGCCTGAGGAAGGGGAAGGTGCACTGTGAGATGAGCTGTGAGAATCCATAGACAGGATATAAAGGCAGTAATAGGGGAACAATTTAATTATGAAAAAATAAAAAAGGCAGAGCTCCCCCCTCCATCTTGTCAAATGCATCGTGAGTCTGATTTTGCACAAGAATAAATGTTTTTCACTGTAGCTTCCTAGTCCTGGGCCTAGCCCACAGTCAGGGACCAGTAAATAACTGATTGAAGGAAGAGTTAAATGAATGCCCTGAAGTAGAGGTCTCGGTGTTTCTCTGCCTGCCTCAGTACTGCCGAGGAACTGTCAGTGTACCATTGTGTTAAGTCACGTGAATCAAAGAAAAGAAGAAATCTGACTTCCTGTACTTTGTTACAGTAGCCCCTGAACTTGTATGTCACTCATTGCTTTCTTTTTCCTTTTTTAAAAAATTAGGCCAGGGGTGTAACTCAGTGACCCAGTTCTTGCCTAGCATGTAAAAGGCCTAGGTTTGACCCTCAGTACTGAAAATAAATTTACATTGTTTATTTTTCTTATGATTAAAAAGATGTATATTTATTTTAGCAAGTTGAGAAAATATAGATATATGAAAGAGGAAATTTAAAAAGATAATCCTACAATCTGGCAACCATCACTGATAGAATTTTGGGTATGTTCTTTAGACCTTTCAATGCATTCAAATGTATAAAAATCAATGTACATATATAAATTTTTAAAAATGTAAAATTCTATTTATACATTCTATTTTAGACCCCTAACGGTGGCTCTACATATACATTTATCTATATCATTGAACACGTGTTAATGATATTCTATTATATATATGTCCCATAATTTATATGTCTAATTTTAAGCCAATTAGACGTTTAAATGCAAGATTGTTACAGGAGGACTTTCAAATAATGGAAATGTTTTTATATTCAGATGATAGCAGTGAATTTTAAATAAAGATATTTAAAAAAATTTTTTTTTAGTTATAGATGGACACAATACCTTTATTTGTTTATTCATTTTTTATGTGGTGCTGAGGATCGAACTCAGGGCCTCATATGTGCTAGGCAAGTGCTCTACCACTGAGCCACAACCCCAGCCCCAAATAATGAGTTTTTTAAAGGATGGATTCAGTTTAGAGAACTCCAACAAATGCCTGACTTAATCCCTATCCAGGGAATAAATATTTGTTCAACATTTAACTTTCTTCCTTCCTTCTTTTGTTAAAAATAATGTTGTAATGAACGGTATTGTGCCCTCATTTCATTATTTCTTTAGGGAAGTTTCTTTCTTTTTTGGGTGGTACTGGGGATCGAACTCTACCCTTGAGCCACATCCCTAGCCCTATTTTGTATTTTGTTTAGAGACAAGGTCTCCCTGAGTTGCTTAGCACCTTGCTTTTGCTGAGGCTGGCTTTGAACTCTTGATCCTCCTGTCTCAGCCTCCTGAGCTTCTGGGCTTACAGGCATGCACCATGATGCCTAGCCCTTTTTATTTTTTAATTTAAAAACAAAGTTGTGTTAAGTTGCTTAGCGCATACTAAGTTGCTGAGGCTGCTTTGAACTTGTGATCCTTCTACTTCAGCCTCCTGAGTTGCTAGGATTACAGGCTTGTGCTACTGCGCCCAGCTCTTTAGGGGAAGTTTCTGAAGAGAAGTTTTGAGTGAGAAATGCAGATTTTTAAGACAGTGCAGTTGACCCTCACGTGACCCTCTGGAAGCACAGTGCTGGCCAGTGCTGGCTGTGTTGGTGACTCTCCTCCCCAGCCTCCCCTGTGGTGCTGTCTGGTTGAGCATTTCATTTCTTTATTGCTTCGTTGGTTTCCTCCTGTGTTAATGGCTTCCTCACTTCCATTGGCTATTTCCCCATTTTTATTGAGGTTTTCAGGTATTTTTTAAAAATTGATTTGTAAGAGAGCGTCCTGAGTTGTAGATTAGCTTGGGAAAGCCTCAGAGCTTTACAACATTGATTTTTTTCCAGCCAGGAACACGTCATGTTTCCCCATCTCCTCCCACTCCACAAAGCTGTGTGTTTCTCTGTGCAATTTTTTCCTTTACCCCCTTATTTCACGTGAGTCATGGCATTTCATGTTTTGTATTGGGATGGAGGTGAAAGTCTGTTTGTCAAAAAACTGTTTATTGTGTTGTCCTACACATTTGAGGCCTAGCACCTAACTTTCTGTTGTTTAAAAAATTTTCAACAGTGAGAAACCAGTCCTTCACTCTGACCTATTTGGGCTTCTACTGTTTGCAAAATCATTTGTGTTTCCCATTGTACTTAATGAGTGTCTATTTTTTTTTTTAACTCCCTGATTGCCTATGTAATTAACATGTGATTAGGCTGTGAGGCTCTGATTATTCAAAACCTGATCTGGCTCCTTCAGGCTCATCCCTATTATGGTTCACAAATCATCAGTGGCAGCTGAGATTTCCCAGCCAGGGTCAGAGTGACCATTTGCTTGGTGGTGGGCTCCAGCATGGAATGCCACCAGGAGGAGCCGAGACCCAATGGTCTACTTGAAGCCTCTGAAAACTTCTTCCTACCTAGGCTCTCATTCTCATTCCACTTCAGCACCTGTTTCAATTCCCACTTTTTATTTCTTATTGATAGTCAAGAGGAAGCCGCTCTGTGGAGTAACCTAATTTCTATGAAAGTATGAGAGCTCTATTAAATTTGGAGAGAAGTATTTGATATTTGGAAAGATTGGTAATTTTGAGCTGACTGGGGTTGGGGAGGCAATCTGTAGACTCTTTAATATCCTATCCTTGTTGACAGCCGCCTTTAAGTTGTTATGATTTATCCAGAAGCTTCTTTTCATTTATTTATTTATTTTTTGGAAATTCAGAAGTTTGTGTGAAAACTCCAAATTACCCTCCCTCCCTGTTTTTTTTTTTTTTTTTTTTTTCCCTTAGAGCAGAGTGATAGAAATCAAGCTGTTGGGAG